GTTTGTTCTTTCTTCAGTTTTGATAGGTTGTATTACATTGTTATTTTTGTGTTAACCCAACCTGCACTACTGGGATAATTCCCACTTGGCCACAGTGTAGAATCCTTTTAATATATTGCTGATTTTGGTTAACTAGTATTTGGGGAAATTTTTGGAGTCTGAATTCCTAAGAGATACTGATCTGGGTTTTCTTTTCTTGTGATATTTTGTCTGGATTTGGTATTAGGGCAATAATATTGGGCTCATAGAATGAGTTGGAGAGTATTACCTCTTTTGTTTTTTTGGAAGAGCTTGTGAAGATATGGTATTTATTATTTTCAAATATTTGGTAGAATTCACCAGTGAACCCATCTGGCCTGGGCTTTTCTATATGAGCAGTTTTTTTTTTTTTATTACCAGTTCTATCTCTTTTCTTTTTTCATCATTTTTGGTTGTCTGTCTCTCTAGTAATTTGTCTATTTTCTTGAATGTGTCTAATTTGTTGGCATATAGGTTTTCATAGTACAGTAGTTTATAATCCTTTTTATTTCTATAAGGTTGGTAGGAATGTTTCCTCTTTCATTCTGAATTATACTACTTCAAGTTTTCTCAATATTTTTTCCTGGTCAGTCTTGCTAAAGTTTGTTACTTTTATTCATTCAAAATAATCAACTTTCCTGTTCAAATCTGTATTATTTCCTTCCCTCTGTTGGCTCTTAGTTTAGTTTGTTCTTCTTCTTCTAGTTTCCTGAGGTAGAGGGTTAGTTTATGGATTTGAGATTTCTTTTTAAAACATATTGATGCTTACAGCTATAAATTTTCCTCTAAGCACTGTTTCATCTTCATCCTATAAGTTTGGGTATGTTGTACCTTCATTGTCTTTCACTTCAAGGTGTTTTCTAGTTTTTTTTTCTTTGACCCATTGGTTACTTAGGAGTGTATTATTTAATTTCTATATATTTGTGAATTTCCAAAATTTCTTTGTCATTCATGAAATTCACACCATTGTGGTCAGAGAACGTATTTTGTGTAATTTAAATCTTAATTCTTTGAACGTACTTCTAATGGCTACTTTTTTATTTTTTATTTTTATTTTTAATAGAGGTGAGGGTCTCATGATATTGCCCAGGCTGGTCTTGAATTTCTGGCCTCAAGCAATACTCCTGCATCAGCCTCCCAAAGTGTTGAGATTACAGGTGTGAGCCACAATATCTGGTCTATGAGGCTACTTTTTTTTTGTTTTTTTTTTGAGTTGGAGTCTTACTCTGTCACCCAGGTTGGAGTGCAGTGGCACACTCACGGCCACCCCAGCATCAACCTGCTGGGCTCCAGCAATCCTTCTGCCTCAGCCTTCCAAGTAGCTGGAACTACAGGCATACGCTACCACACACGACTAATTTTTTTTTATTGTAGAGATGAGGTCTCACCAAGTTGCCTGGACTGGTCTCGAACCTGTGGGCTCAGACAGTCCACTCACCTCGGCCTCCCTAAGTGCTGGGATTACACGCTGAGCCACCGAGCATGGCCAAGGTTGCTTTTAAGTCTTTGTGAAATCTAGTATCTGGGCCCTCGGCCCTCTCACAGGTGGTTTCTGTTGCCTGCATTTTCTCCCTATATATGCATCATGTTTTGCTATTTCTTTGCATGTCTCATGTTTTTTTTGCTGAAAACTGGACATTTTAGGTAATATATTGTAGCAACTCTGGATACTAATTCCTGCCCTCCACCCTATGGTTAGATTTTGCTTGTTTATTTGTTTAGTGACATGGCTGGACTACTTCAGTGACGGTTCCTGCCCCCAAAATATGATGCCTCTGGTGCCTCTTCTCAGGAGGCAAAGTCTTAACCAGGCACACAGTCACCCTAGATGACAGTGGTTTCAGGAGGGCTCTTTTTGACTATTTCTTGTCATGGATCTGTTAAGCTGTCTGCCTCTGTGGGTATCACACCCAGCTGTTCAGCTCCACTCATTGCCAGCTGATTGCTTTATTGTTTTTGACATGTAGAGCATAAGTGTTCGATAACCTGATCCTGTTACATACGGGACCCTTTGTAGGGTTAGTTTTTGAGGCAAGTAATTTAGGTTTGTTCTGGCTCCAGAAGGGCTCTTAACTGCTCTTTCTTTGGTTTTCTCTGTTGGACTCCTCTGAATTGCTCCCTACCACAATCTTCATTTTTTTGAGAATTCCCCATACCCTGTATCATATACTACAGGCAGGTCCTTTGGAGAAAGTTTTGGAGCTCTCTGCTCTCCTGGACTGCCTTGCCTCCGGTGTAAAATCTTGGAGACCCTGCTCTGGAGTTGGTGTCAGAGACAGTGGCTTGCTTTCCCTGGAGTGACATTCCTGCTTTATGAGCAGGAGCTGGGCAGGGATTACAGCCTTTGACTTTATCCGTTCTCATCTCCTTTGTGAAAACTTCACCCTGTGAGCGAGCTCAGGTGAGGACAGTCAAGGCCCTGATGTCCTTGTCCCACTGCATTGAGGTGAAGCCTCTGGCCTGTGAGTGTGCCTGGGTGGAGGAAGGGGCCCCTGATCTCTTGAACACATTTTCCAGGAATTTAGTCTGCAACTTGGAGCTGGGAAGGGGATAAGAAATATTGGTGGCCTGCCCTTCCCAGTGAAATATCATATCCTATGACTGGATGCTGAGGAACAGAAGTTCCCTGCCTTTTTTTTTTTTTTAACTACACTCCCCTGGAGTGCAGCTTCTGTCCAGTTGAACTGTGGGTGGGAATTGGGGGCATAGCGTGAGAGAACAGGTCATGACTCAAGTACCACAAACTCTCACTATTCAAGATTCAGTTGATTTTCTTGAATAAGTGTCTTTTCATTTGCTGTATTTCCCTAGGAGAATTTCCAAAGAGTTTAAACATTTTGTTTTGTTTTTATATTTTTGGTTGGGCATGGTGGCTCACACTTGTAATCCCAGCTACTTGGGAGGTCAAGGTGGGAGGATTGCTTGAGCCCAGGAGTTCGAGACCAGCTTAGACAACATAACAAGACCTCACCTCCACAAAAAGTCAAAAAATTAGCCAGGCTGGTCGCATGTGCCTATAGTTTTAGCTACTTGGGAGGCTGAAGCAGAAGGATCGCCTGAACCCAGGAGGTCAAGGCTGTGGTGATAGTGCCACCGCACTCCAGCCTGGATGATAGAGTGAGATCCCAACTCAAAAAAGAAATTATTTTCACCAGTTATGAAGTTTCACCAGGGAGTGGGTCTACAAAGTCCCTCAAGCTGCCATTTCTGAAGTAGGAGCTCTCTTACTTTCAATAGTTACTTTTAAAATTACAATGGTGGCCGGGTACAGTGGTTCATACCTATAATCCCAGCACTTTGGGAGAGGGAAGTGTTGTGTGAAACCAGGAGTTTGAGACCAGCCTGGGCAACACAGTGAAATCCCACCAATAAAAAAGAAAAATGTTTTAATTAGCCATGAGTGGTGATATGCGCCTGTGGTCCCAGATGCTTGGGAGACTGAGGTGTCTCCAGTCTGGGTGACAGAGTGAGACCCCAACTAAAAAATAAATAAATAAATAAATAAACAAATAAATAAAATATGTATATATGGTACCTGTGTGTACATATACATATTTTAAAATATGTGCTTATGGTAAAAAATTCAAACAATTCTAAGATCCTTATTCAGAAAGAGAGTAAAGATATTAATATTGGCCTTTGATAAATTAAGTATGTACCATTGCAAATTTTTCTTTCTCTCTCTCTCTCTCCCTCCCTCTCTCCCTTCCTCCTTCTCTCTCTCTCTCTCTCTCTCTCTCTCTCTCTCTCTC